AGCTGGTGCAGCGTTTTGCCGACGATTTTCCAACATATTCCTTTAGCAAAAGTTGATCTAATGATTGACTTTTGTTGAGGGGATAGGGTTACCAATTGGTCAAATTTCTGCTGATTCCTGATGAATGGGCCAAAATTCCCTTCGTTTCTACCTAGCTTTAGGCTTCACGCCCCAGGGATGCCACGCTACCTGCTCAGTACCGCGGCACTCCATTCTGGTCTTGGGCTCTTAGCTGTCTCTTTCCGTCGCCTCCAGTTTTTCAGCTGCCCCTTCCTGCTCTATGGTACCAGTTCATGGTTGTATATTTTAATTTCTCCTGTGGCTGCCAGCCTACACTAGGTAGGATCCACATCCTTGAGTTCTGCTCTTGACACCAAGGGATCAAATATCTCAGAACAACTGCATTTTTATTTTATTTGAAGGCAGGGAGATCTAAAAATGTTAACAATTGGCTTACTGTATCATTGTACAATTAACAATATAACTTTATTTTTCCACATACTGTAGTATTGTAACAATTGAACAATGTTGATTTACTCAAGACCAGTTTTGATAAACGATGCTATTATTTTGCCTTGCTTGCTCATTCCCTCCCACCCCCTATATTGCAATTGGCCCATGACTATGATGGGGGTACCTCACTGGCCAATAGGAATGTGAAAGGCAGGAAGGGACGGGCAAACTTTTAACTTTTATCAGGAAGTGCCATAGCTTTGGCTCACGGTCCAGCATTCGGACAAAGCAGCAGATACTGAAAGTTGCTGCATGTATGTGTAAAAGCATTCTCCCAAAATTTTAAAACGGTGGAACAGCTATAACAAGATAACCATTTCTCCTCTCCTTTATTCATTTTTGACTAATCTACCAGTGTATTATTCACTGTTGAATGGCACTCCAGTAACAAAATGTAACCACTCTGCAGAAGGCAGTTGTTATGTTGGGACGTCATAGTATGTGGCTGTATTGGTGGTGAGAAGACTTGCTGTTTGTACTTACCCCTTTATTATTGTGAAGGGAATTTCCACTTTGTTTGATTTTCCTTCTTTTTCTTCTTTTTAGCAACACAAAGGGAGATGTAATTTACTATTATGGATCCAAAGGAGAAAGACAACCTGTCAAATTAAATTCTGGTGAGTTATGTTACATTAAATAAAGCAAAACGTGAGCCAAAATGCTGGTTATATGTCAATTTCAGCTAATGCAATTTCATATAAGGAAATGTTAATTAAAAAATAAGGTGTAATTTGTATTACATTTTGCGTTATATTTACCCGCATGAAATACAAGCCTGCTAGCAAATTAAATTAAAAGTGGCAGTTGGTGCTTTGAGCTTCACAGTCAGTATTCACATAAAGCTCAACTCCAAGGAAATATTAAATGCCACCTTTCAATACAGTGATATATTTATGAAGAAATGTTTAATGCATTTTAAATACCGATATATATAAGTGCCTAGGATGGCTCAAAAGAGCTGCCCAAAATTCCTTTTACACGAAAACTGAGGTAGGAGGACCAGTGTGATGAACTATTTGAGCTATTTTGCATTGTAATTGTTCAGGGATATAGTAAACAGGTTGAAAAATGCAAACAAATGAAATAAAAATTAACACAAAAAATGAAAAGTATAAATCCTGCTAAATTTTAAATGTGTTGGGACAAAAAAAAGGTGTGAATTAAGGGAAAACTAGTGGGTGTAAATTAAATTATAATTTTTTTCCCCCCAAATGTAAAAATAGCCAGAAACTTAAAAGCTATAGCCCAGCTATCTCATGGATGAAATGAGCACTGACTCCAGGCAGTGAAAGCGATCTCTTTGATATGTTACGTATATTTTATGATTATCTTTAGATCTGTAACTAGTATGGTTATTGTCTTTGTAAAGCCCTGAAATAGCTAGGATCCTTTAATAGCAGCAATGACATTGGAATGAGTAGGAAAATGTTACGCAGCATAATTTGTATGTGCCAGATATATTACTCCCTAAGCTACTATACTATGTGCATGATAAACATGTAATATATTATTTTTAACATTCAGCTCTTATTAAATCCTACTCCCAGTTTTAAAAAAGAAGAATCCATCTGGGCAGAAAAACAAGAGCATGAAATCTATTTCAACGCCACTGTTTTATGTGTGGAAATATTTCCTTACTAAAAAGAAATAAACAAATAAAAAACAGTTAAGGGGTCTGTCTATAATTGTTTTCACAACAAGATTTTTACAACTTTTACAAAAGAGGCCCATTTGTTCTAATTAGATTTAATTCAGAAAATGGGTCCTGCGTGAAAAAAATGGTAGACTCTAAAGTTGCCCAAATTAACCATATCCTTGTAAATGCATATTTTACATATAACTGTTTGAACAAAATACTAAGGTGCCAATATTTTCTGAAAAGTGTGTTCACCTTTTTTTTCTATTTCTACCCTGTTAAAATCTATAAAATAAAACACTTGTTTCTGGTACCAAATTTCAAAATAATGTTTATTACATAGAATATTAGGCCCCTTTCGCACGGGCAGTCCAATTGGGTCCGCCTGTCAGTTTTTTTTAGGCAGACCCGATCGGATGCCCAATGTAAGTCTATGTGCAGCCGTGTGTACATGGATGGGCATCCCTTTAACACCTGGGTACCCCCGACTCCGGACTCCATTTTACCGGACCTGCTCATGCTGGATCAGTGGTAATCTGATGTAAATAAACACATGTCCGTTTACATCCAATTCCTCATAGACAGACATGGGGTCCAGTAATTGTACGGACACAGATGTCATAGTGGTGACATCTGCTCCGTACAGATGTGATCAGTAGAGGATCCCTCCATGGATCCTCCTCTCTTAATCAGCCTGTGTGAAAGGGGCCTAAAGGTGCCCATACACCTTACAATTATCTGCAGATTTTCTGTGGTCAGATGGAAAAAGTGCAACATATTGGCCCAGGTGGAGATTACTCCATCCACACAGTTTAGTATAGATGGAGGAATCTGTTGCACCTTTTCCATCCAACCACAGAAAATCTGCAGATAATTGTAAGGTGTATGGCCAGATTAGACAAGTATTTTGCATTAAACCTATACCTCTGAAATAGAAAGAGCATTGCTCAGTCAAAGTTATAACTTTGATATAGTTACATGTGCATGTTGGCTAGCAAATGAATGATTTGTTTTTTATAATAATTACTCTCCCACTAATGTATAGTAAACTATACCATATTCCTTTCTGGAAGCCTCATATGTTTCTTGTACAAATATCTGAAAACATTTACCAAATTGCCTAAGATGAGTCAGGTTTAGGGCCAATTTACACCAAAATTGGTGTACAGAGGTAAGTTGACTTTTGCCAATGTTTATTTTAATTAACATGTCCTGAGGAGTGGACAATCTTCTATGTTTTTTTTTTTTTACTTGCGTTCCGTTCTGTTGCATTGACATCCATTTTGTTGCGCTACAAAAAAGTAGAACATGGTCTACTTTTCTTTCGGCGAACTGCAACGCAACACAGCGTTGTGAACTAGTGCCATTTACACCCATACATTTTTCAGGTTACCTTCCGTTGGCATCCATTGATATCAGTTGAAAGACTGACGCTAATGGAAAATGCTAATTGCCCAGTTGTGTCTGTGTCGCAGACCCAGAAAAAGCATGCAATGAATTCTAGTGTCAGGAAAGTGTTGGCATTCCTTATTTATTTTTGTTCCAGGGTAGTGCCTCAGGCAGTGTTGAAGACAAAACATCGGCTTGATAGCTGGGAAACTAGCATTCTCAAAAGGAGTGGTTAATCAATGACAACTTCTATAATTCTCTCTTAACAGGTGTACTTGAAAATGGAGGTCTGAGTAGAAATTTGAGTTTTTATGTTGTTTTCAGTAGAAAAACTTGTTTTCTGGTTTCTTAGAATTCCTGCTTGCTCACAATTTTACATTGATTTATTTGCCTATGTACGAGGTCCTTTTTAAGTTTGTAGGCATTCAACATTTTACAAAACACATAAGCTCAGACTGGACCCTGTTATCAGGCTACATTAACCTGCATGTTAATAAGGAATTACCATGGGCTATTGAAACATCTGAAGGTTCCTGAGTGGAGCAATATTATACCATATCCTAATAATGATCTACAGTGATTACACAATTGAGCCACTACTGATGACTGTCCCTCTGTGTCAGTGGCACAAATAAATAGTTGCTTTCTTTGAAATAGCTGTATCTGTTTACAGAAGTGTGCAGTTGATCTGCTGACCTCTTTTACTTTCTGGCATTCTCTAATTGGCACCCTCATTAGACTGTAATGATCTCTTGGTTATCCTCATTAAAACCTTATATAACAGCCTATGCTGTGTGCTGCTAGAGATAGGCCATTAGTGAGCTTCTACTGTATACCAACAACGGTAAAATGTATCTAGGAGCCATAAGTCAGAAAAACGTATCTGAGTTTCCTCTTTTTTTCAGTATTAAATAGTAGATTGGGCAAGCAAATTGAGTTGCGCAATCCCTGTGGGGATCGTTACTGTTATTGAGCTTGATAGTGTGGTGATCATATTGTACAGAGGGGCAGATTAAAGCAGTAAAGGAAATGTGCCTATTATGTGCACAAACTGAAGTTCTAAGCTGGAGGTAAGGTGAACCTGTCAGCCTTTTTAAACTTTTAATAGTGAAAGTCGTATCTAAGAGTAGACACTATAAAATGTCAGCTATTATCTTTGCGAACTCCTCCTCTGTACATGTCTCTTAAACTAGTCTTAGAGGTCTAACTAAACCCTGCAGACTGTCATTATTTTTTGTAATGTGTGTTATTTGTGGCCAATGAGGCAATCTCAGTGGATAGAGAAATGGCAGATGGGGTTTTTCTTGAACTCAGGCCAAAAAACTGGAACCAGTTTCAGAGAGGCTATCAAAGTTATTAGCAAAAATCACTAATTGCAGGGCAAATTGACTTAAATGCCACAGAAAGCCCTATGTAAGCTTCAAGGCATGACTTCTCCCCACCCCTACTGACCGCAATGGGTGCCTGAGCAGTCATTTACCAAGCGCCAGCACTCTCTAACATGAGGAAGGGGAGTTGCATGCTCCCCATATCACTACAGGACACAGCAGTGATGTAGTTGCTACTGGGTGTAACCACATTGCGCAATGGGGAATCAGGCATCTGGCACATCTGGAAGTGTAGGATACCTGCAGCAGCCATAGCCCTGCAAGAGAAAAAAGTTTGATCTTCCACTGTACTGGTAGGTATTACTAATCTCCTTTTACAGCCTACTTCTAGTTTAAGGCTTTGCTCTAGGGACAGGGTTTTTTAAAGTCAGGGCCACTAAATTTAGAATAATGCATCCACCACATGTTGCACCACTTTTAAACTTGCACAAGATGACAATGCATATTTTTGAAAGTGTTGCTGTGTTGATATAGCAATGATATCCTCCATTAATATTTTTTTTAGCAGTAGTTTCTGTAAAACCTTTTAGGAGTCACGTTATGTGAACAATGTAATTAATGGTTAATGGGATTCTTTTATTTCTGCATACATTTTTTACTAATACCCAAATTAATGGTTGTAGGGGCAGTGAATATCGTTTATAGGACTTGGAAGGTAAGAAAATTGAAAACGTGCATAGTTATATAGTAATGCTCATAAATTTCCCGGTTTGTTTTTTGCACTGATTTTAGGCAATTTCACCAATATGGGCACATAAAGTGTGCAGTAGTATCTAAATAGTAATAAGTAAGAGTTAATGTGTGCGTGCCACACTAAGTCACTAGGCAGTTCTGCTGGCAGAATCCAGCTTAGCACCAGTCTGAAGGTTGGATGTTTATAGTATGCCTAATGATGTATGATTTAGCAGGGGAGCTATTGAAAAGGCATGCAATTCAGGCACAAAATGTTACCTGACACCAGCAGATGAGGAAAAGAAGACTCAAATCCAATATTGATTTTCTTGTGATTGCTTCGCATTCCTTCATGGGTCTCCCCAGATGCTGTGGTTTAACTAGCTGCCTTCTGAAATGTATCTCTTTTTTTTATTTACTGTGGTTTGCCACTCCTTCACAACATTAACTGACATAATGGTTAAATGAGATGCTACTAGAACAGTCAGGTGTATCTGGTTTGTTGTACTGGTGTAAGTGAAATGTCTCAAAAATGTAACATATCACACAGCACAGAACAAGGATATGTGTGATATAATGCTTCTTCACATAAGCCTAAGGCCTGGTTCACACCTGGGCGTTTTACAGCGCGTTCCTACGCGCTGTAAAACGCTCAACATGTGAAAACCAATGATTGCCTATGGGCATGGTTCCCACCTGGGCGTTTTACAACACGTAGGAACGCGCTGCAAAACGCCCTACGCAGTACAGGAACTTCTTTGGGGCGTATTTGCCGTGCGTATCCATTAGAATACAGCCGGATAGCCCTCGGAAACACGCGTTTGTCGCGTGTTTCTTTTACCGCAAAGCGCGGTAAAAACACGTGGCACAAAATGCGCGGCAAAAGCGCATATTCCGTACGCCTAGGTGTGAACCCAGCCTAAGACCCCGTTCACAACGGGGCGGTTCAGCCGCATGGATCCGCCGACATTGTTATGGGGACTGTTACGCAACCGCGTGCGTCCGCATGATCCGAACTGCTCCCTGCACTATTTTCCATATAGCTTTCTATGGAACCGTGCTGATGAGCGCGGTTCTGGCCATTTTTAATTGCGTTTTAGTGCTGAAACACAATTTAAAACTCCCAAAACCTCCCTTTTGAGATCAGCGCGGTAACCGCGCTGATCCGCAACCGCCCTGGTGTGAATGGGCTTTTAATGAAGTGCCAGGACGGAGTCCAGAATTAATTTTAAACATGCAGCAAAACACCTGTGTAATTTTTATTCTTACGAAAGCATCCAATGCCAATGCCCAACGCATATACATCACACTGTTCTCAGAGGCAGTAAAGCTGTACCTTCTCATTGAGTCTCTGTCCCAGAACTGATACATATACCAGGGAATTAGTTTTCTAACTAACCCCTTCCACAACCAAGTTGAGTTTCATGACAGTAGGAAATAGGCAATTATGAAGAATTGAGTGGGATAAAGGACCCTAATGGGTGATATTTTATTCTGTACTGGCCATATACTTGTGTATATAGGGTTTATATTCAAAAACCAGTACAGATGGTATCTCAGTAGGCTCAGTATGCTGTTTTCTCACAAATTCTCAATTCTCATGCAGCTTGTATATTGTCTGCATGATTTTCTACTTTTTCTCTGCGCAATGCTGTCTCTTATAATTAACATCAGCATACCAAGGACTATAATTTATGGGTGGAGCCTAGTTGGCTGATTCACATGTGGGCATCTAAAGTCTTTTAACAACTCAGTGAGATTTCCATACTGTAGCTCCAGGCTCTGTTCTGGATTACTTTGGGAACATGTCTTCTTTTGCATTTTACAAAATATAAAAATGTTGCAATATCCAACAAGGTTGAGTGGAACCCCTTCTAATGGCTGCAACAGGTAGACCTGGGAACTCAAGTACAGAAAACTCACTAGTAAAGTCCCCTATACATAAAGGAAATGGGCTGTTGGGTTAGGTTAGTTCTCCAACATTTGACAAATACTGAAATATCAGTCTTTGGTGGACTCACTAATTAACCATCCTATAATTGGGCTTGTTCAGGGAAACCATCCAAGAGTAATGATAAACAGTGCAATAACCCAAAGCAACCTGATTTCACTTTTATGCCAGTGAAAAATGCATCCTAATTATTTACTGTGGTTTATGGCACTGTGCTCTTTGCCTTAATTAATAAGCCTGAGGGTACGTGTTTTGCATGAAAGTAGAAATGGTCAAAGCAAGGGAAGAGCAGATTACTAATAGTATTTATTCAGATCTGTCTGATCTGTAAATTATGTAATCTAGGCAACCATGATTCATGAATAGTATGATTCTCAACAGACTGAACAAATATGTATATATACACTGCCTGGCCCCAAAAAAAAGTCACCATCTGGATTTAGCTAAGCAAATGGGTAAGAACCTTCTATTGGATAATTAGTCTAGATTCAGCAACATTATGTCCCCCAAAAATTAGGTTCGCTGCCTACCTGAAAATACTGAATGGCCAGGTTCTTTCATCGGTGGATTTTTTTCTTCCCTGGTGACACGGGCATATTCCAAGATTACAATGCCAGGATCCATCAGGCTCAAATTGTGAAAGAGTGGTCCGGGGAGCATGAAAAATCATTCTAGCACATGGATTGGCCACCACAGAGTCCAGACCTTACCCCATTGAGAATCTTTAATGCAGCTCTGGACAGAAAAAAATGTTGTGACATTGCATAAGCTTATCACAACGATGCCACGGTGAATGCATACCCTAATCAAAGCTAAAGGCGGTCCAATAAAATATTGGAGTGTGTGACTTTGTTTGCCCAGGCAGTGTATATTCAGAAGAATCGAAACATTGACAATTTCCTGATTTACGACTAGGTTCTTGTTCTTTCTTGTTCTGTATCACCTTTATAGCAATAAAGACTTAAAGGTAAAAAAAAGCTTTTTCTAGGGCTGCACCGATACCATTTTTTCCAGATCAAGTACGAGTACCGATACTTTTCTTCAGGTACTCGCCGATACCAATTACGGATACTTTTTTCAGTATCATGTGACAGTTTTTCTAAAACAATACAAAATAATAATTTTAGAACGGTGATGAAGTGCCGGGATCTGGTCCCAGCTGCAACCGCTACACCCCTGGTAGTTTTGCCACTGACTGCAAGCTGTAGAGGGACTACAAATCTCAGCAATACATTATACAGCAATGCAGAATACCACCAGCTATAGAGGATTAGAAATCCCAGCGATACATTATACAGCAATGCAGAATACCACCAGTTATGTGCTCTCAGGTGGCTATGCGGGGTCTATGCTGGGCTGTGCAGGCTCTCATGTGGGCTGTGTGGACTCTCAGCTGGCTATGCGGCGTCTTAGGAGGCTGTGCCGACTCCCTGATGGGCTGTGCAGGTTCATTGGTGGTCTGTGCGGACTGTCAGGTGGCTATGCAGGGTCTTAGGAGGCTTTGCGGACTCTCAGGTGGCTTTGCCAACTCAATACTGGGCTGTGCGAGCTCTTACCAGGGGTTCTGGCCGGTCTCAGCAGGTGAGGGCGGCATCATGGAGGAGGAAAAGATTTTCGTCCTGCACTGTAAACAAGCGCCGTAGTTCACGGGAAGGCTGCCGGGACCTTGCTGGGGACCTCGGCAGCCTTCCTGTGAAGCCCGCCGCCTGTTTACAACTCTGACTTTGTTTTAAAAATTTAAAGTGCCGGTATCGGCACTCAGTATTGGGGTATTTTCACGAGTACTCGTGAAAATGCCCAGTATCGGCACCGATATCAATATTGGTGCATCCCTATTTTTTTTCAGATGGATGTTGAAAGAGGGCCCTTAGCCAATGGTTCCAACCAACTGCCTGCAAAGTGCCCCTAACTGCTTCTTCTGAAAGATCCTGTACACTTTTCCACACTTGCATGTTGATGACAGTATTTGGGCAGTGGCTGGCTGTTGACTTGCATTGCATCCCCAGGTGAAGCATTCAGAATACTGGTGGAATGGCAGCTAAATGACACAGTTGGGATGTTCTTCTGCATTTAGCACCAAAAAGAAGATATCTGTAAGGTGTCCTCATGCCTCTGTTTGGAAGGATGGAGATGTGGGGTTTTTTTTTCCCCCTGTGTGACCATTTCTTATCAATATACCGTAGCAAAAAAAACAAAAACCTGATGCGGTGAAAGCTGTCAGTGCACAATGTAATGGAATAAGAGGGCACAGTTACAAGTTTGTCAGGTATCTGTTCTCAGGATGATCTGTTCTCCCATTGCATGAAATGTAGGTTACCATTATTTGACTGTAATTATATTGCATTCACTGCTAATTTTTTTTTAAACTTATGCTGCATTTTAATAAGCCTGGCGCTCTTCCTAATGCTAAATGTAGATACTTTTAATTGAATTGTGACCATTCTGATTTCATGAAGTGCGATTCCTAGTTAGAAGTTTGTTCACCTTCAGATATGTGACATTTTATTGTATCTTTATTGCTACAGGGTTGTATGGCTTAAGCTGCAGCCTGCTGGATACCCCATGGAAGAAACTCCAACACGGGAAGAGACTTTTTGCTGACATCATCAAAAAGAGCCACGACATTGCCAAAGAAGACCTGGTGCAGGAGCTCATTAAAGTGATGAATAATGAAGAGCCGTAAGAACAAAATGACCTACATTTCCTTCTGAAATTGCCAATGCAGCAGTTCTTTTCCCTGGTCTCAGGAAGGCCAATCTGTTCTTATAGTTCTAGTACTGCTTTACAATGCCAGGCTCTATGTTAGCATAAGTGTGCTCCGATAAAGTCTGTATGCTTATTAATAGATTTCTTATACATAATGGTACTGCTCACTGGCTTGCCCTCTGAGAGGACAGATGTTGAGACACCATAGGGCAATTTATTGCCTTTACTAATCTGATCCATTTGGGTTTCTTTTTAAAGCACACTTCATCTGACATTTCAGTTATGAGTGGGTGCTGGTGCACTTTTCTGCTGAAGCCCTGGCCTGGCTCTGGGCCCCAAGCTATAAAATACTCTGTAAAGTGAAACAAGAAAAATCTAGAAGGACCAGTATGACGGTCTGTAAAATCTACAGCAGGTGGAGCAGGAGTGTGCAGATTTCATTCTGGAGACTTCTACAGATATAAAAAGCAAGTGGGTGATATACTTGAACCCAGCACTTAAATAATTTTTAACCTGTGCCAAGAAATTAGAGATGAAATAGGATAAAGATAGTATCTGTATCGCAGTATATCAAAAGGGGTACTCCGGGCACTAAAAGGCCTTCGTAATGACACGTCACTTATAGTGAAAAGAAATGATGAGGGATGAGCCAATGTTTTTGCAAAATCATTTGGATTAGATGTTATAAGATCAATTGCTGATGACTCTTGTATAGTCCTTTAAAAGGCAAATTGACACACGGTTAGACTCTCAACAGTATTCTGTACATTACCTAAAAGTAAAAATGCCCCACTTGCAGCAGGAAGACCTATTGTCTCAGCAGTTAAAGCATAACTCTGGGCAAATGCTTTATTAACCCCTGCAGTCGGGCTACTCCTGCACTGCAAGGGTTAACTGCTCGTTTTAGTCTAGGGAGGAAAATAAAAAAAGTTATGCTCACCTGGACATGAGGATGCCGAGAGACTTACCATGGCTGGAGCATAGTAGGAGGAAAGAGGCTAAAGGGAGCGCTGTCACAGAAGATCAGGTGATTATAACTTTGTTATTTTCCTCCCTAAACCAAAAGGGGCAGTTAACCCTTGCATTGCAGGGGTAGCCCCACTGCAAGGTTTAATAAAAGTTTTGCCCTTAGTTTTTCTTGAATTCATTGCTGGAACATCTTTGTGGTGACATAGGTTATTTTACAGTCTTAAAGCCACACTCCAGGAAAAAATCTGGGCGTTATATGTGGAGGGCTGCTGACAAGTATCAAAATCTTACCTTGCAGATGCTATCTCCTGCATGCAGCGCCTGGCTTGCGGGCACTGAGAGGAGTGAGAGATGCCGTTCGAACATTAGAGTGCTCTGGTTGCATCACCTGCCTCTCTTCACTACTTGGCCATTCACAAAATGTGGTATTTATTTAAAGAATAAAATCCATTCTGTGATTGGAGGAGGAGACGAGGGGAGGGGCATTTTGTGACTGGGCAATAGTGAGGAGGGATGGGTGGTACAACCAGAGCACAAAAAGACTGCTGCTTCTCCTTTTTAGTGTTCAGTCACAGGCTGGGGGGAGGGAAAAGATCTGTAAAAGTTACTTAAATCCAGCATTAAAATATTACGTCTCTTCCCCTGTCAGAAAAGGCTGTGCTGTGTGGCAGAGCTGTGTAAATCTCAGTACTGGAAGTCCTTTGGCAGGTAAAAGAGCTCCCATCCCATATTTCATGTGTGTATTTAGGTGTTTGCCTGAAATTCATCCTGCGAGTAGCAGAGCCACTGCTACAATTCTCTAGGCATTTGGAAACCAAATGACTTTTTAGGCCCATGCACACGTTGCCAATCTTGCACGGTGCACTACCGCGTATTGTGTTACGTATTAATGTGCATTTCATTAAGGCAGCCCTTTTATTTTGAATAGACTGCCAACGCACAAGAAGGGACAAATGCTACATGTTCTTTTTTGTCCAGATGCAGCAGAGAACCGCATCACCATGTATAGTGTTTTGCGTTAAAAAAAGAAGTAATTGGGAGTGTAAAATGTACTCTTCTCAATACTTTGAGCTGGCGTGTGACACTGCAGTGATCGCACAGCAGCTCTATGGATCGCGAGCTGAGCGATCACGAACCACTGATTGCTCAGCTCATGGTTTTTTCCCTGCAGAGTAGGAACTGTCAGTCAATTGTCCCTGCACAGATTCCCCTCTCCACCCCCCCCCCCCCC